ATAAAGCACATATACAAAAAGAACATAGCAAAAAGCAACATTTAAATACAGTCCATTAGCCATTTAAAGCAAAATATAATGGATTTGACTCCTCATCCAAAACTAAAGAATGTGTCTAAAGATCAGGGAATGTTGAGAAAAAGCTGAATGCTGAAGCCAGGGAGCAGGCATGGCTCGTACATTATTACTGCTGACTCCTAAACTTTAAGAATAATCTTAATCAAGCTTTTACCTAAGTGTCAATCTAGCTCCTAGATTCATCAATTATTTGACAAACCACTAACTGATGGAGCCTTTTTCTTTAATCATATTTTCATAGAACAGATGGAGTTGTGCACTGCATTGTGGGGAAGATATACGATAAGGCAACAGAAATGTTAAAATTTAAGTTTGCTAGACTGATTGTCTTGGAATAATTTGAATAAATATATGTAAAATAGAGTCATGCCCATTTATAATCTGTATTGCTCCAGACAGTAACCCTGTTATAGAAACAGGGTACAGACAATAAATAGTTTAACATCATTTGTCTATACTTACATAGTAACAAGTTACATAGTTACATAGCTGAAAAGAGACTTGCGTCCATCAAGTTCAGCCTTCCTCACATATGTTTTTGCTGTTGATCCAAAAGAAGGCAAAAAAACCTAGTCTGAAGCGCTTCCAATTTTGCAACAAACTAGGAATAAGTTCCTTCTTAACCCCAAAATAGCAATCAGATGTCTCCTTGGATCAAGCAGCTATTACCCCACTAATTAGAAATTAGATCCCTGTATGTTATGTTTTTGCAAGTATTTATCCAATTGCAGTTTAAACATCTGTATAGACTCTGACAAAACCACCTCTTCAGGCAGAGAATTCCATATCCTTATTGCTCTTGCTGTAAAAAAAACCTTTTCTTTGCCTTAGATGAAATCTCCTTTCTTCCAGCCTAAATGTGTGACCTTGTGTCCTATATGTAGCCCTGTTTATGAATAGATTTCCAGATAATGGTTTGTACTGGCCCCGAATATATTTGTATAATGTTATCATATCCCCTCTCAGGCGCCGTTTTTCCAAACTAAACAGATTTACGTTTTTTAACCTTTCTTCCTAACTAAAATGCTCCATTCCTTTTATCAATTGTGTAGCTCATCTCTGTACTTTTTCTAGTGCCATGATATTTTTTTTTAGAATAGGTTCCCAAAATTGCACAGTATATTCAAGACATGGTCTTACCAGAGATTTATAAAGAGGCAAAATTATATTTTCATCCTGAGAATTTATGCCCCTATTTATACATGACAAAACCTTACTGGCCTTAGCAACTGCAGATTGACATTGCATATTGCTGTTTAATTTGTTGTCTATAACAATTCCCAAATCCTTCTCATATGTGGTTATGCCTAATTCACTACCATTTAGGGTGTAAATTGCTTGTGCATTCTTAATCCCGAAGTGCATAACTTTGCATTTTTCTACGTTAAATTTCATCTGCCATTTTAGTGCCCAGTCCCCCAATCTATCCAAATCCCTCTGCAGCAAAGCAATATCCTGCTCACATTACAAAGTTTTGTGTCATCTGCAAACACTGATACATGGCTTTCAATGCCTATTTCAAGATAATTTATAAATATGTTAAATAAAAGCGGTCCCAAAACAGAACCCTGAGGGACACCACTTACCACTTTTGTCCAGTCTGAAAGTTTACCATTAATGACAACTCGTTGTACTCTATCTTTAAACCAATGTTCTACCCAACAACAAGAATATTCATCTAGACCAATTTCTTTTAGTTTGAAGACTAACCTATTGTGAGGAACCGTATCAAATGCCTTGGCAAAATCCAAGTAGATCACATCCACTGCAACACCCTGATCTATACTTCTACTTACTTCTTTGTAGAATGCAATTAGGTTATTTTGACATGACCTATGTTTCATAAAAGCATGCTGATTATTGCTAATAACAAAGTTCTTCCCAATGAATTCCTGAATATTATCCCTTAATAGCCCTTCAAATATTTTTCCAGTCACAGAAGTTAAGCTCACAGGTCTATAATTTTCAGGCAAGGATTTTGAACCCTTTTTAAATATAGGAACAACATCTGCCTTCCTCCAATCCTCCAGTACAATACCTGAAACAAAAGAATCTTGAAAAATTAAATAGAGAGGTTCACTTATTTACCCACTTAGCGCCTTAAGTATTCGTGGGTAAATACCATCAGGCCCCTGAGCTTTATTTACATTAATTTTCTTTAATAGCTGTAGCACCTTGTCCCGAGTTATCCAATCACAAGTTATCTGCAAGTTTTTTGCAGCAATCATTTGCATATCTCTGTCCATAGGATCCTCATTAATATATACTGAAGAAAAATAGTTATTTAAAATTTCTGGTCCTCATTAGCTAACAGACCCATCTCTGTTTCCAGTGTACCTACTCTTTCATTTTTTGTTTTTTTTTAGAATTGATGTACTTGAAAAACATTGTTGGTTGGTTTTTCTTTCTTAGGCTATCAATTTCTCATTTTCTAGTATAGCAACTTTAATTGCCTTTTTGCAAGCATTATTGGCTTCCTTATATCTTATATAGGATGCCTCTGATTTGTCACTGACTTTGGTCACTGACCAAAATTTAAACATCTAGTCACATTTTTTGCTTTTAAAATAACAACCAATCATATTATAGCTTTGATTTCAAAGTCATTTACTGACTCATCAATAACTCTCTACCTCATAACTGGTGTTGCCTAGCAACAGACCAAACAAACAGAACAAGTGGATGATGTAAAATGATGATGTATCTGGGGTTCATTATCTGTTACATCCAGTGCTGAGTAAGCAGTGATTAACAGTTATTCCGGTGATAACTAGTTTAGATCATTTGGAATATAAGAAGTATATAAAATGGAGGAAATATCTGAACCCGAAGAGCAACAAAATGGCTTGCTGTAGGTTTATTTAAAATAGTTTCTTTATATACATATTACTAATGTAATAATTTTTTAGAAGGTAAATCCCTTGGTTACTACTTGTATGGTGTTCCGACTATACAAACTTTACCAGATCAGGATTATTATCTGATATTTTTTAATGTTGTAATGTTATCATTTCACTGTCCAACATTTAACTTGTGACTCAAGACATTAGAACCGCAACCTTACCGTATATTACTAGAGCTATAATTTCACTAACTGAAATAATTTTTTACACTTGCTAATGGAAAATATTCATCTGCTTAATGGCGTTTGGCTTTGCACATTTGGTTGTTCCAGCCAAAACATAGCTAAGCATTATTTACATTATCAAATAGCTGCCATATGATTACCTGTTAAATTAGCAGAACCTCTTTTGAATTTAGCTCTTTGGCTAATCACAAATTCAGTTCAAAGCTAAAATCCAATTCCCTTAATGAAATAAATAAAACAAAAAAACAAACAAACAAGGGAATTGTGACTGTAAACCCAAAAGACCACAACACTATCCCAAATCCACCCTTATCCCACATTGATATTTCTACTCTAGAGGCCTCACCCCAAAACCATATCCTAACCCAGAGGACATGGCTCTGAAAACTATTGCTGCTGAATGTTTTGCTTTGTAAATAGTTTTTTTAAGATTTTTGCTAAATATATCATCATAGCTCATAATTCTATTATTTTTTGTGCAAACAATTAGACGTTTTACTTTAATTATACAACAGAGAAAGCAGTTTTTTTTTAATTATGGGGAAGAAAACAAAAAAGTAATGCGCCTACTAAAAGGAACAGTCTTACGTTAAACAAATATATTTAATTTTGGCATTAGTGAATTGGATTTTCTTAGAAGAGTAAGGGCGAACACAGCTTATTGAATAGCAACTCCACCAGTATCCATTGGAACATTGCAACTCAGTCAGAAGTAGACATGTGTACCAGTGAAATTTTAATTTCGGATGAATTAATTCATACTAAATAAAAATTTCATTCGTCCATTCCGAATTTTGTCCGTAAAACATTTGTTTTTCAGCCGAAATTTGGTAAAAAATAATAAAAAAATAAAAAATAAACGAAAATAACACTGTGCATGCGTAAAAAAAAACAAGGAAGGAGCCGGCAGTGCTACCAGCTCCCTCCTTGTAATAATATTAAAAATTCCTACCCCCCTCCCCCCACAGCACTATGACCCCAATATTAATAAAAGGGAGGATAAATGTCGCCAGTGGCTGCTCGCTGTCATGTAAAACTACTAGTGACTGGGCAGCTATTTCTGCCCAGTCGCTAGTGCAATAATGGGGGTGAAAAGAATATGATTCTCACAGTAAAGTGAGAGCAAGGTCCCTGGATATAAATCAGTATCTTATATAGAAGTAATAGCTACGGTAAGAGTACGTGTAACCAATAGTTAAAGCAAAGACAATAACAATGTTGCAATATGAAAAAGTAGCTATTTAGATCAGTACATAGCTACTTTTTCATATTGCAACATCTTCACCCAGAGAGGGCACCATGCAGACTGAGGTCCGCAGGGCGGGGAAAGACTTATGGGGGATGTAGTCCAAAACATCTGGAGTGGCGAAGGCTGCCTGTCCCTTGGTTAGATTATGACCATGGTCATTATAACCTAGCCACTTGCTGGATGCTCTCAGAGCTATGTATGCTATGCTAATTTCACTAACTGGAAAAAATCTTCATTCAGTTACATCTCCACTTTGATGGAAAAGTTGATTGTCATAGCTATAAATAGTTTGTAGTTAATTATTTAGGTTTCACCCCACGGGCTATTGATTTTAACACAGCTGAGGGGACATAGTCTATATTTTAGATCCCATATTTCTCTAAAACAACTGGCAATTTTAATAAATGCTATAACTTAAACTAAAAATATTTAGGTTAAAGGTCCATCTTTAAATGTAAATAGAAGGGACCGCTTAAGGGACTAAGAGATTATGGAAGTTAATAGACAAAACAAATTAAACATCACAAATACCAAATGTTCCATAAATGTAATAGACATGTTGTTCCATTATTAATCTGATTTAAAATGCCCGACAACCCTGATTTAGCTGGTGTGACTGAATCTTGGGATTGGGTTAAAAGTCACCTATTTTCTGTTTCCCCCCTCAGTAAATTGGAGCACCATGAAGTCCTCTACTCTGAGACGTATGCTTACGAAGTACACGAACTCTTGGGCAGTGGCACCTTTGGGAAGGTTGTAAAATGCGTAAAAAAAGGCACCAGCGAGAAAGTGGCCGTCAAAATCTTGACGAACCACCCGTCCGTCACTGAAGAAGCTAAAGCTGAGATAAACATCCTGACCCAGCTGAGTAAGGAATGCCCAGACAAATTCAATTTCGTCCAAGCCTATGAGTTTTTTCTGCACAACAATAACATCTGCCTTGTGTTTGAGATTTTGCAAATGAGTCTCTTTAACTTTATGGAGCAACACAACTTCGAGCCATTTCCTGTGAAAACTATCCGCCCTATCGTGGAGCAGGTGGACACTGCACTAGCTAAGCTGAAGAGTCTAGGAATAATTCATGCAGACTTGAAGCCAGAGAACATCATGCTGGTGGACAATGCCACACACCCATTAAAGGTCAAGGTGATAGACTTTGGGTGTGCCTTCCATGTGTCCAAGGCTCAATGTCTGAGTTACATACAAACACGATATTACAGGTAAGAAACATTTGTTACATATACTTTTATAAAATGTTGTACATTGAAATACAAGGAATAATGTTATTTGGGTCTGGTTCATTTTTCTAAACAAAACCCCCGAATCCATTAAAATCTGGTTAGAAAGGTCACAATAAAAACCTTTTATAAGAACCAATATTAAAACGTACAAGGTAAAAACCATGCAATAAACCGGGAGCTAGTATCTAGGTTAAAGACATAATCAGTTTTAAAAAAAACAAAAAAAAATAGAAACTAGAGAGCATCCAAATATAAAACTAGTGTCTCACAAACTAAAAGTAAATCAGTAATGTACTAGAAAGCACCATGATATAATGCAGAATAACAATCCACTTGTAGATAAAAGGGATACAACGTAAATATAAATTCAGACATGGTGCAATAATAGTGTAGCAGCAGTCCCATTTTTAATATGAAAGTCCACTATGTGGCAGTAAAAGAAACAGAAGTCCATGAAATTAGCACTGCTAAATAATGTGGTGCTGATGGTTTGCACTGTTTAGTATACAATAGTAGGGCAGGAGCTAGATTATGTTGGACGCCCTTTGTAGGCTGAGATGTCTTGTGATAACTCCTCGGCAGCCAGATGGTGCAGAGCCGTGACTAACATAATAGTAATATTATTTATTTTAGCAATTAAAGCCTAGTTAATGAAATTCAAACCAATATTTCAGGTGATTTATGGTTCTAAGATATGAATTATTTACCTAACCTTCTGATATCTCCCATTTTTGGAAATTTGCAGGTCACCAGAAATTATACTTGGTTTACCATTCTGTGAGGCTATTGATATGTGGTCTTTGGGATGTATCACAGCTGGGCTGTTCACAGGACGACCTTTATATCCTGGAGCATCGGAGTATGATCAGGTGAGATATCCAGTGGCGTACACATGATCCATGGGGCCCCGGTGCGAAAATTGATCCGTGGGCCCCTCCGCGCTTACTCGGCGCGGGTCGGGGCCGCACCACATGGCGGCGGGCGCCTGGTCGCAGGGGTTGCAGGGCTGCGACCCCGCGACCGCGGTATGCACACACACTTAAAGGACCACTACAGACACCCTGATCACATCAGCTCAATGAAGTGGTCTGGGTGCCAGGTCCCTCTAGTTTTAACCCTGCAGCTGAAAACATAGCCGTTTCAGAGAAACGGCTATGTTTCACTGAGGGTTAATCCAGCCTCTGGTGGCTGTCTCATTGACAGCTGCTAGAGGAGCTTCCGCGATTCTCACTGTGAAAATCACAGTGAGAAGACACTGAACGTCCATAGGAAAGCATTGAGTAATGCTTTCCTATGGGCGGTTTGAATGCGCGTGCGCCTCTTGCCGCGCATGTGCATTCGGAGCTGAGAGGCGGAGGGATCCCCAGCGCCAAGGGAGTCCGACGCTGGAGAAAGGTAAATGCTGAAGACACACACACTCTCATAAACAGACGCATACACACTGGCTAACAGACACACACATTTACTGACAGAGACACACTCAGCGACAGACATACATACACACTCACTTACAAAACATACACTTTCACTGACAAACACACTCAGTAACAGACACACACAGTAACACACTCACTAGCAGACACACACCCAATAACAGACACACTCACTGACACACACACACTAACACTAAAACACACATACATACACTAACACACACACATACATACACTAACACACACACATACACTAACACACACACATACATACACTAACACATACACTAACACACACACATACACTAACACACACATACACTAACACACACACATACATACACTAACACACACATACACTAAAACACACACACATACATACACTAACACACACACACACACACTAACACACACACATACACTAACACATACACTAACACACACACACATACACTACAACACACACACATACACTAACACACACACATACATACCACCACATATACACTAACACACACACACACACACTAACACACACACACATACATACACCAACACACACACATACATACACTAACACACACACACATGATGAATCCCCCCCAGCCCTTACCTTTGAGTGCTGGGGGATTCCCTGGGGTCCAGTGGTGCAGTTGGCTGGGGCTGTCTCGTGCCGGCGCTGAGAGCACTCACTGCTTCCTCTTCAGCTCCCTCGCGCGCCGCGGAGGGATGACGGCACCGGAAGATGACGTCATCTTCCGGCTCCGGTATCAGTGCGGTGCGCGAGGGAGCTGAAGAGGAAGCACTGAGTGCTCCCTCGCGCGCCGGCCACCGAGACAGCCAGCCCGCCGGGGTCAGCAGGGCCAGCATCGGGGGGCCCTGGGGTGGCCGCCTCCTGGGCCCCCCAGGAGAAGAGGCTGGCCCTGTGGCTACATACCGGGTCGCAGGGGCGGCCGGGCCCCCTGGTGGGCCGGGCCCGGTCGCAGCCACGACCCCTGCGACCTTGGTATGTACGCCACTGGAGATATCTATGTCTGATAACATATGAAGGTCTCAGCTAAGAATCCAGAATTAGTTCACATAGAAAGATATCATGTGGCTGTTTAATCAGCTTGTATAGACAGCAGACAGAGTGCAATGTACTCTAAAATGGGAAAATTGACAATTTTGTTTAAAATTAGTGAGGTTTATTCACTAAACAAGGAATTGTGGTGAATTAATATATACACAATTGCAAAAGTTTGTCAAAACTGCAAATTTGCTTGCCAATCCAACTGCAGGCACATCTTTATAGCCTTAATTTTGGAATATTATTATTATTATTATTATTATTATTATTATTTAGAAGTATGTAGGTGTATAAATAGTTGGTTTATTAAATCTAACCATTTTTATTGTTCAAGATAAACAAATTTGAGTTAAAACTTGATAATATTTGTATTTTAACTGGGTGGGAAATAAGTTGCCAAATTGTTATCACTGTGGCAAAGAAGAGGTTACAGCTGTTTTGATTAAAATAAATTTTAAAAAATTAAGAAAGAAAGAAATCGCCAGGAATACAATGTGGAGGCAAGCAGATTTGGTTCCACTGTTATATATGTGGTAGGCAAATAGTAATATCATCCAATAGGCTTTCAGCTAGGCAAATAGTTTTTTGACCTTGTAAAACTCATCTACCTTGGAAAAAAAAACTTTTGCCTTACTAGTATTAGGCCCTCCCCCGTCAGGGTAAATAATGGGTAAAAAAAAAGGGCAAATAAAGGGTGGCCTGGGAGAGTATCGACTAGCAGAGGTTAGTTTTCAGCGGTTTCTGGGAGCATGTTGGCAAGCAAGGTCCACTTTCCTTGAAGAATTCTAGATGGCTACTGGAGACAAAGTGCCACATTTCTGGGGTGCCCGGGCAGCTAGTGGCAAAAGGGGCCACTTTACTGGGGTACTGGGGTGTGTATTGGTGAGCAGGGGCCACTTTTTCCAGCTATTCGTGAACAAAGGCCACTTTTCCTGAGTACCTGGGGCATTTATTGGCAAGCAATGGCCACCTTCCTCTGGTTACTGGTCACCTATTTGAAAGCAGGGGATACTTTCCTTGAGGGGTTCCTAGGCAGTTATTGACATGCAAGGGTACAATTTCCTAAGATTTCTGGGTGTTCATTTCTGAGCAGGGGTTTATTTCTAGGGTTGTCTGAGTGGCTATTGGTGAGAAGGGGCCACTTTCCTAGGTTGCTTGGGCACCTGTTTCTTAGAAAAGTGGCTTTGAAATCTGGAAGAAAACAAAAAAGGGAAAAAATGTGCAAAACTATAAGCCTGAATACTAGTTAATAGAAAGGAGAAGTACTGTATAATATCCCAAAAGGACCAGAAAACAATGCTAAACACCCAAAAGTGTACCTCACATACACCAATATAATACAACAAAAAGGTAAATCTATACCACACCAACAAGTGGTAGTATAGATTAAAGGGGTAGCAAACAAATATCATGAAACATACAACCTGTATGTAATAAAACACAATTCTTCAGAAGATCTAAAATATAAAGAAATCACATAATAGTGAAGGATGTACAGAAATATATAGTTCAATCACGAAGGTAGAGAACTTACAAGACCATACTGTAGATCTGCGCTTATCTCCCTTCTGTAGGGTATCTGTTTTTAGGACAGTGTTTCCTTCAAGGTGAGCTTGCAATGTAGACCAGAGGAATATATTCGGAACACCCAATCATCAAATGAAGATTAAATGAGCATATCTCCACTAACAAGTGGTACCAAGGAGAAGGAGTCCCTCTGTGGTAAAAAATAAAAAGTATAATATAAAAAATAAATAATAAAAGCAATGAAGAACCAAGAGCAAATAGTTCTGGCTTGTATCCAACGCGTTTCGTCTTATAGACTTCTTCAGGGATATAAAATACAGTCCAAAAATCTTTTCCTTTTATAAGCCTCAAAAGTTCTTTGAATTTGCCGCGAAAAAAACTTGTACTTCCAGGTTTCGTCTTTACCCGTCTCTGATTAGCCGAACGTGATGACGTTTTCGATCGTGTGTGAGAAAGTAAGCTGCTTCCGCGTTTCATTCTGGAACGCATGACGTCTACACTCCTATATATAAGGCTCTGTGTCTCCAAAAACGCTTCCGCGTTCCACCGTGGAACGCACGCTGATCCAGGCAACCAATAGGTTGAGAAGAAAACCGAGCGTCCCAGAGTGGGACGAAGGAAGCCCACTTATATTCTATGTACAGGCAGAATATATAAACTATGAAAAATATATATCCATAATATAACCATAAACAAGAATAATATAATTGAAACACCGAAAAATAAATCACATGATTATAAATCAAACAATTTCATGTATATACATATGTATAGCACAATAAACACATATTACCCACATGGGGGTGAATATATACGTGCACACTGCATGCATATACACATGTATATTACAATAAGTGCATATCACCCATATGGAGGTAAACACACATATAACACAAAAAGATATATGTATAATAATAATAAAAAATTATAAAAAAATACATGTATATATATATATATGTATCAGGATAAATATGTACTATCCACATAAATGTGGCTATCATAGTTATTAACCTGACATATAGAAAAATATAACATAAAAATGGGGTATCTAAAAACCTCAAAAGAACTCAAAAGCCACTTAGACTATAAGGAGGGGTGTAGATTCTAATTAAAGGAGCCCCACCAAATCAATATCCCGATTGAGCCCTATCTTCAGAGTTTTTAGTGTATAAATCCAAAAAGCTTCCTTTTTATCTAAATCATTAATTTTACTTCCTCCCCTCCAGTTTTTTGTGACCTGGTCTATGCCAATAGCAATAAACGTAGACCATTTGAACATACTGCAAGAATTACAATGATTAGGAACACTATGTTCCACCTTATGTGTCCTAATATTATTAAAGTGTTCGCGAAGTCTGATGTGCAGAGTTCTAGTGGTCCGTCCGATATATTGGGCACCGCATCCGCATTGTAAAAGATAAATTACATATGTGGATGTGCAATGTATACATTTTTTTATGTTATATGTCTGATTAGTGTTAGATCCTATAAAATATATGGTTCCACATTTATGAAAACCTGGAGTTTTTTGGGATTGTAGAAAATTTAATTTTGGACTTTTTATCAATTTTGGTAAAAGACTGGGTGCCAATTGGTTTTTAAAATTATCTGCTTTCTATATATAACTACAGGCTTTTCTGGTATCTTTAAAAATGAATCTCTAAAATTTAATCTTTTTTCAAAATGGCCCAATGTTTTTTGAGGATTTTTTGTATTTTCTTGGCCTATACTTAGTGATGAAAGCAAAATCCATATATCCACTATTGGCTTTATTTTTACGTCTAGTGTTTTTGTCCATTAAGAATTCTGTACTATCTCTACTCCTTATTTTTATGATGTCTTTTTCTATTTCGTATTAGTTTTGATTGCTCTTCAAACATCTGAACATTAGAACAGTTTCTCCTCATTCGGGTTATTTGGCCCTTCGGAACATTATTGAGCCATACTGGATGGTGTAAACTGGTCCTTTTTATAGCTGTATTACAATCAGTCTTTTTAAAAAAGTTTTGGTATTGAGAGTCTCGTTTTATATATAGAGAGTTAAGTCCAAAACGTCTATAGTCTTCATATGGATGTTGGAGGTAAAATTTAGGTTATATTGATTTAAATTTATAGTTTCAATAAATTTCTCCAAACTTTTGAGGCTTATAAAAGGAAAAGATTTTTGGACTGTATTTTATATCCCTGAAGAAGTCTATAAGACGAAAAGCGTTGGATACAAGCCAGAACTATTTGCTCTTGGTTCTTCATTGCTTTTATTATTTATTATTTATATTATACTTTTTATTTTTTACCACAGAGGGACTCCATCTCCTTGGTACCACTTGTTAGTGGAGATATGCTGATTTAATCTTCATTTGATGATTTATATTTTAGATCTTCTGAAGAATTGTGTTTTATTACATACAGGTTGTATGTTTCATGATATTTGTTTGCTACCCCTTTAATCTATACTATCACTTGTTGGTGTGGTATAGATTTATCTTTTTGTTGAATACTAGTTAAGCAAAGTTAGTTCCAGCTGAAGTGGTAGAGGTTAACACAGTAAAGGAGTTTAAGCATGCGTGGGATAGGCATGTCAGGGTACCTGTTGGTGATGTATCCAGGGAGGACATCCTCTCTGCTTAGGGGCTCCCTTCCCTTAGCATTTCGGCATATTTCGGCCGTTTTCGCGCCGGCCGCGCTAGCTCCTCCCCCTTTTATGACGCGACGGCTAGCGTCGACGTCATGACGTCGGCATTTGCATAAAGTGCCGGGAACCGCTATTCCGGACCTTTTGGGGGCGTGGTCTCTATTTAGGTACAGGGTATTTAAAGGAAACCTTTACTACTGCTCATTGCCCTGTCGTGGTTCTAGCTTGCTAGTCACTCAGCGCGTTCTTTATCTTGTGTTTCCGGTTTTGACCCTTGCTTGTCTTTTGTCCTGTTGTCCTCTCCTCTCCTTTGACTCGGCTTGTATCTCGCTTACCTGTCCTCCGGCTCCCTTGACCTCGGCTTACCTTTTGACTATTCTTGCTTGTCCTTACGTTAGTCCGGCCATTCTAAGGTCCGGTATACGTACCTCCTTCTGTGCGCACTCTGCGTATTGGATCCCTGTCAGTTTCCTGACATTACGACAGGGCCAGATGGATCCTGCAGGTGCTAGTCCTCCTGACCCCAGATTTGAGGCCATGGACCATAGAATGGACCAAATGGCTTTAGCGCTACAAACTTTGTTGACACGCTCCAGTACCCAGTCTGAAGAAATACGTTCCACTGCTAGCCACTCGCTAAGTACTGGTTTGGAAGTAGCCACTGTAGGCGCATCTTCCCATGTCACGTCACCATTACGATATGGGGGTTCGCCTGATGCTTGTCGTGGTTTTTTAAACCAGATAAGTATACATTTCGAACTACAACCCCGGGCTTACCCCACTGACAGGGCTAAGGTAGGCTTTATTATAACCCTGCTAATAGATAAAGCACTTAGATGGGCCAATCCCCTTTGGGAGAATGACAATCCTTTAGTCTACAACTACACTGCGTTTGTCACGGCTTTTAGAAGAACCTTTGACCCCCCAGGGAGGAAGATTAATGCGGCCAGATCCCTGTTACGCCTTAAACAACAAGATAGGACCCTTGTAGAATATGCTCTAGAGTTTAGATCATTGGCAGCAGAAGTGAAATGGAACGAACAAGCTTTTATGGATGTTTTCTTGAATGGGTTGTCTGATGAAATTTTAGATGAAATTGCCACAAGAGAACTTCCGGAAAATTTAGAGGATTTAATATCCTTCATTTCCAGAATAGATGAACGCATGAGACAGAGGCAGAACACTCGGGAAAGAGTTACTAGACTTCCTGTAAGACTCGCTCCCTCATTTCAGAACCCTGACTCCTATAATCCTACTCCACCAGAACCTATGCAAATAGGTAATACTCGCTTATCTGAGGCTGAGAGACAGTACAGGAGAAGGGAGGGTCTCTGTTTATACTGCGGGCTGAGAGGTCACTTACGTCTTAGTTGCCCTAATCGTCCGGGAAACGCTCGCACCTAAGTTCCCTTAGAGGACGGGCCTTGGGTGTTTCATTACTGTCCTCTATGCATAATAAAAAAGACCATAGGCTTCTGATTCCTGTCTCTCTAGCTTGGGAAAAGGGGTTTATTGCTACGATGGCATTATTAGATTCTGGAGCAGCAGAAAGCTTTATAGACCAAACTTTCGCTAATAAGCATTGTATCCCATTCCAATTGAGAGATACACCCTTGGCCGTTGAGGCCATAGATGGTAGACCTTTATCTGAACCAGTAATATTCCATGAGACCGAACCCGTTAAGCTTACTGTTGGTATTTTCCACGAAGAGTTGATTTCCCTTCTGTTAATTTCCTCCCCGGCAGTCCCAGTGGTTCTAGGATATTCTTGGCTCAAGAGACACAACCCTCAGATTGACTGGGAGGGTGGAGAAATCGTTTCTTGGGGTATGGGTTGTAGGGAAGAATGTCTGCAGAGAGTTACTTCTGTTTGCCCCGTAAACTCTTATGCTAACACTTCTCAATCCACAGACGTTCAGATACCATTACAATATCTAGACCTCAAATCTGTATTTGACAAGGGTAAGGCGGATACTTTACCTCCCCACCGGTCTTATGACTGTTCTATTAAACTTTTCCCTGGTACTATGCCTCCCAGGGGTACGGTATACCCTCTATCCACCAAGGAAAACTTAGTTTTAGAGGAATATATCAAGGAGAATTTAGACAAGGGATTTATTAGAAAGTCTTCTTCTCCGGCGGGGGCGGGTTTCTTTTTTGTAGAAAAGAAAGACGGTACCTTACGCCCTTGTATAGACTATCGGGGATTGAACAAAATTACTATCAGAAATGCTTACCCTATTCCTTTGATTACTGAACTCTTTGACAGACTAAAGGGTCGAGTATTTTTACTAAACTTGACTTAAGAGGAGCATATAACTTAGTGCGAATTAAACAAGGAGATGAATGGATGACAGCATTTAATACCCGTTACGGGCATTATGAGTATACCGTAATGCCGTTTGGGCTTTGTAACGCCCCGGCCGTCTTCCAAGACTTGATCAATGAAGTTCTTAGAGAATTCCAACATGAATGTGTAATTGTATATTTGGATGATATATTAATCCATTCTAGAGACATTAATTCACATCATAGACAAGTCAGAAAGGTATTACAGAAACTTTTACAACATGGATTGTATTGTAAATTGGAAAAATGTAGCTTTGACCAGTCTCAGGTAACTTTCTTAGGTTACGTAATTTCCAAAGACGGGTTTATGATGGACCCGACCAAACTAAAATCGATTTTAGATTGGCCTTTACCTAAGGGACTCAAAGCCATACAAAGATTTCTTGGATTTTCTAATTATTACAGACGTTTTATTAAAGGGTACTCCTCTGTTATCGCTCCTATCACTAATATGACCAAACAAGGAGCCGATACCAAAACCTGGTCTACTGAGGCTTTATCTGCTTTCGAAACGCTCAAACAGTCTTTTGCCTCAGCACCTGTATTAGTTCATCCTGATACCTCTCTACCCTTTTTACTTGAAGTTGATGCGTCTGAAACAGGGATAGGCGCAGTGTTATCCCAAAGACAAAGTTTAGATAAGCCGCTGCACCCTTGCGGTTTTTTTTCCAAGAAACTATCACACACTGAAAGGAGATATGACATTGGTGATAGAGAACTTTTAGCTATCATTATGGCATTAAAGGAATGGAGACATTTGTTAGAGGGCACCGTCCTCCCAGTTACTATCTTGACTGACCACAAGAATTTATCGTATATGGGGGAGGCCAAAAGATTATCTGCCAGGCAGGCACGTTGGTCTATGTTCCTTACACACTTTAATTATGTGCTTACTTACAGGCCTGGTTCTAAGAACACTAAGGCAGACGCTTTGTCACGTCAGCACGAACCTACCACCTCTACAGAGGATACTTTGTTCCCTATTATTCCTGAAGTCAATATTATCGCCAACACCAATGTCAAAATACACTCTCCATTGCTCGCTGATATTCAGAACGAACAATCTCTTGCTCCCGAACGTACTCCTGTGGGCCGCTTGTTCGTGTCTCCCAAATTCCAAGTGGACATTATTCGCTGTTTCCACGATAGCAAGATCGCTGGTCACCCCGGCATCCACAAAACTTACTGCCTGATCTCCAAAGACTTCTGGTGGCCCGGTTTACGTAGGGATGTGGAAGACTTTGTCAAGGCTTGCAATGTTTGTGTCAGGAATAAACTTCCGCGGGATCTCCCTTGTGGTTTATTGCAGCCCTTAGTCGTTCCCAACAAACCTTGGGCTTGTTTGGCTATGGATTTTATTGTTGATCTACCAGCTTCCAATAGGCATACAGTTATCCTCACGGTCCTTGACAGGTTTACTAAAATGGCTCATTTCGTTCCCTTGCCTAAACTTCCGTCCTCCCCCGAACTGGCCGTGATATTTGCTAGAGAAATTTTCCGTTTACATGGTATTCCCAATGAGATTGTGTCAGACAGGGGTTCCCAATTTATTTCCCGTTTTTGGAGATCCTTCTGTTCACAGTTGGGCATCAAACTGAATTTTTCTTCGGCCTATCATCCCCAATCTAACGGAGCAGCCGAACGCACTAACCAAAAAATTGAGCAATATCTACGTTGTTTTGTTTCTGAACACCAGGATGACTGGGTCGGTCTGATTCCTTGGGCGGAGTTTGCTCACAACAACCTTGTTTGTGGTTCCACTCGTAATAGCCCCTTTTTCTTGAACTATGGCTTTAACCCTACTGTTCTTCCGTCGGTGTCTCCTTCCCAGGGTATACCGTCGGTTGATATTCATATAGCCAACCTGAGAAAGTTGTGGGATCAGACTCGACAAATTCTTGAACGTAGTTCCGCGGTGTTTAAGTCACATGCTGATAGGCGTAGACGTCCTGCTCCTATTTTTTCTCCGGGGGATAGGGTCTGGTTGTGTACCAGACACATTCGCCTGAAAGTTCCTTCCTTGAAGTTTGCTCCTCGTTACATTGGTCCTTACAGGGTACTGAGGAGGATCAACCCGCTTTCTTATTTGCTGGATCTACCTCCTACTCTACGCATCCCTAACTCTTTTCATGTGCCGTTATTGAAACCTCTTGTTTGTAACAGATTTTCCTCCCGCTCTGCTCCTCCATCCTCGGTCCGTGTGGATGGTCAGGAGGAATATATCATCAAGTCCATCCTTGATTCTCGTATTTCTAGGGGGAAGCTGCAATACCTCATAGACTGGAAAGGTTATGGTCCTGAAGAGAGGTCTTGGGTTCCTGGTATAGACGTGCATGCTCCTCGTCTTCTTCGGGCCTTCCACGTTCGTTTTCCTTCTAAGCCAGGTCCCATCCGCCCGGTGGGCGTTTCTAGAAGGGGGGGTACTGTCAGGGTACCTGTTGGTGATGTATCCAGGGAGGACATCCTCTCTGCTTAGGGGCTCCCTTCCCCTAGCATTTCGGCATATTCCGGCCGTTTTCGCGCCGGCCGCGCTAGCTCCTCCCCCTTTTATGACGCGACGGCTAGCGTCGACGTCATGACGTCGGCATTTGCATAAAGTGCCGGGAACCGCTATTCCGGACCTTTTGGGGGCGTGGTCTCTATTTAGGTACAGGGTATTTAAAGGAAACCTTTACTACTGCTCATTGCCCTGTCGTGGTTCTAGCTTGCTAGTCACTCAGCGCGTTCTTTATCTTGTGTTTCCGGTTTTGACCCTTGCTTGTCTTTTGTCCTGTTGTCCTCTCCTCTCCTTTGACTCGGCTTGTATCTCGCTTACCTGTCCTCCGGCTCCCTTGACCTCGGCTTACCTTTTGACTATTCTTGCTTGTCCTTACGTTAGTCCGGCCATTCTAAGGTCCGGTATACGTACCTCCTTCTGTGCGCACTCTGCGTATTGGATCCCTGTCAGTTTCCTGACAAGGCATAAGGCTATCCTAACTATAAGATAAGGCCAGGGACTAATGAAAGTATTTAGAAAATTGGGCAGACTAGATGGGCCGAATGGTTCTTATCTGCCGTCACATTCTATGTTTCTATGTTAGTTTTGCCTAGGTAAATGGTGTTTAACCCCTTAAGGACACATGACATGTGTGACATGTCATGATACCCTTTTATTCCAGAAGTTTGGTCCTTAAGGGGTTAATGCTAATGCTTAATGCTTTTTTCCAGAAATATATTTGCTTACCACATATACATACTATCGCTTTTGTTTATATACTAAAATCATTTATGTATTCATTATACAATGGTGGTTCACATTCATTTAGCTAATTTCTCAAGTATAACTAGAAAATGTTGGATGTTGATCAGTTGCAAATGCAATTAGTCAGACAGAATGGAAGCTGGTGATTATGGGTATCTTATAATTTGAATGGACAATGTCAGTACTTACATGAAACATTATGACCTCTTGCTTCCTCCCTGCAGATCCGTTACATCACCGAAACCCAGGGTTTGCCCCCTGAGGACATGCTCAACAGGGGACCAAAGACCCTTCTGTACTTTGAAAAAGAAAGATATTCCCCGTATTCATGGATATTGAAGGTGAGACCTTATATATTGATATAATATAAAAATCGAGACAAGAGGTTAAGCAAATCCTACAATATTATGATAGTCCTAGCACAGGATCTGCCATTAAGTAGTTAAAGTTTTACACACTGACATTCAGTAATTTGGCAGTTTGGATTTGATAAAGCATAGATAACTGTTCCTCCATAAAAACGTTTAACTACCACACACCCCCCACATCCCCTTTTTCAGTCCATTTTGAAGCCATTTTAAAAATCAGCTTTTACAATAACACAATGTTAAAAAAAAAAAAGAACAGTTTAGACTTGGGGGAAAGCTGGCGAGTAAGTTAATGACAAGACATGTTTGTTAGTTCCGTCCCTACATTAATAAGAAAATCATTGTGACTTTTTAGAATGCCTCAGAAACTAATTGAGCATCTATGTTTTTACTCTAGACTACAGTCTGCTACGAAATTGAGTCTGGTATTCAACCAATAGAAAGAAGGAAATATATCTTCAGTTGTCTTGATGACTTGGAAAAGGTACTATATTCCTGGGGCTCTCAAAATGACCTAAAATAGATTACATGGCATCTTCCCCACAACCATGTATTATTGTCTATGATTTTCTGGATAGGCAGAAAAAAATATTTTAAAACTGGTTGGTTGGTCTAGCACAGAAGAGATGGTGGAGCAATCTCTTTGTGCTTAACTTTGCATGTGAGGAGCAAAAGCGTGGGGTCCCGAAAACATTGTGCACCTCAAGATAACCACATTCTAAAACTTTTATCATCTCTGCTCATATGTACCCAATTTAAAATAGTTACATGTTTTTTCCTCTTTCTTTTCAATGATTATTTTTAAAATATAGTTGGTTGGTTCCGATATATCATAAAATTAGAACCCCTTTCTTGTTTTTCACATTCTTAACTTGTCTTCATATATCTATCTTGTAACATGAGTCTGAAGATGTGTCTGGTTACTATTTACCACTTATCCACCACTATAGAAGCTATGAGTTTAAGAGAACTGAGAAGGAACCAGGCAACTTACTGTACTCTCTGCATTCTCCTAATGTTGACCCTAAGATACTAATTTTTAAAAAAAAACTTTTTTGCATTTATTTATGAATACAGACCTTACTAAAAATATAATCTTCTCACACTTTGTGTTTCTCATCAGGTAAATTTACTGTCAGAGCAAGAAATCAGTGGCATGACAGTGGAGATGAAAGACATGTGGCAGTGTCTTGATTTGATCAAGAAGATGCTTACTATAGATCCCGAGAAGAGGATAACACCCATAGACCTTCTCAGCCACCCCTTTATCACCATGGATCATCTCCAGCACTTCTCACATAGTTCATAGTATGTAATTTTCTTAATTGAAAGGTTGCCTGGAAATGGTGGGAAAGTCGGTATCAATATAGGAGAAGGAGGATCAATTATATTCATAAATATTATAGATATCTAAAAATATCTCCAAGGATATGTAGAATTATTTAAATTGTATAAGCTTCTACTAAAATTTAACATGTAGGATGGTTTATTCAGTGGAAAGTATTTTGCTGCTTTTTGTGAGCTACGATAATTTCAAAGAGGAAAAAGAAGCAAATTAAAATGAGATATATATATATTTGTGTTCGGTGCTATTCTTGTAACGTAACGTATGTATGGTATGGTGTAACCATAGGTATGAACAAGTCGGTTGAAGTGTGCCGAAACCGACGTATGCGGAAGGCCTGTAATAAAGAGGGCCCACCCTAGATATAAAATAATAATTTAAATTGAGTTGAGGGAGTGGTGGGTGGGGCCTGCCGAAGTCAAAACTCCACGGTGATGCAGAAAAAAAGGGGATGAGTTTAAATAGGATCACCACGCCCTTCCCACAACTCCAGGCAAGCCTTTACATATATATATATATATATAATTTTAATTTGCTGTGGCCTAATTTATTGGGGCCAAAATGCTTAGTATCATGATCGTATATATATATATATCCACATTTATCACTATAATTACACCAAATTACCATAGAGTTTGTCAGACACTGCTGCCTCTCTACAGCAATGAGAATCAGAAGCGCTTGGCAATTTTATACCGTACCTAGGTCCACAGCGCATTGGTCACAACCTCCAGAAGAGCTGGAATCTCCTGTATGGGTATTACGTTCATTCTCCTAGATAACCCAGCAGAGTGTCAGCCGATTGTTCTCAGAGAGAGAGCTTTCTGTTCTCTGCAGACTGTAGTGGAGGCAGGGAGCAGAGCTTAAGGGAACCCATTTAAGAAGTCAAACTGTTCTAAAACAGCTTAACAACTTTCATGGGGAAGGGGAGCACCAGAGTGTTGGCGTGTTCCTTTAACGAATATTGTTTACTTTAAACAGCAGCTAAATAGATTTACTCATCTGTTTTTGTAAGGAAGTCTCTATTCAGTAACTCTTCATTTGTGTATTCTTCCTCATTTATTTCCCTGTTCATTTAATAATTGTATATATTTTAATGTCTTTTTTGTCTTCTGCTCATCATTTCTTCCCATCTCTCTTTAATTTCTTCAAAATATTTTTTACATACCTTTTTTTCTATGCAACATTTTTCCTTTTCATGTAGTTACATCTGATTGTTCTTCTTTCGTTTTCTAGTGTAGAAACTTGCATCCAGTCCATGAAGATCTGCAAATGGCATGTGAGTATATATTACATTAGCTAAATAACATTTTTCATTATTTGTCATGGTCCCATAAAAGCTGTTGGGTGCAGGGTGGGGGATTCCTCTAACATAATTATCATGGGTGGCCAAAAGGCAGATCCCCAGCTGCTATAGACATGTAGCTGGCATGAAGATTATTCTGGCTAAGCATTATAGGAGTTGCATACCTATAGCAGCTGAGGATATAATGTTCCCGTCCAGCATGTAGGATGGGAATCACTATTCCTAATCATAACATGATCACAGACGTAAAGCAGGAAAAGGTATAATATTCCATTTCAATAAATACATTCTTAGTGTTTATGAAGAAAGCGGCAGTGTTATTTGTGTTAACGGTAGAGCAGCTTTCTATTTTATATTGCTCTCTATATAGAGATATCATTATGTGTACAATGTAGGCTGCCCGTCCTTTCTATCAGTACTAATGAATAGCATTGTACAATAGGCTCCTTAAATGAATACATTCTGACATTTTGTTTTTTGTTTCACGGATAGCCGGCTCAAGATGAAATAAATGAAGTTGAAGAAACCTGTGAGGATAGTATGGAGAATGTAGAACTTGACACTCTGGAAAGACCAGCTCAGAGTGAGAAGGAAATATCTGATGAGAGCGCAGTAGAACACCCGAGTGACTTGAATGAAGGCAAGAGAGATGAGAATGAGGGAACCGAACAGAGAAAGAGGGGATCCCGTATCCGACGGGCGTTACGAGCTCTGCACTGCCGCTTCTCCAACATTGATATCAACACAGAGCGTGAAGCTACAGCTTCCATCCTCTCCTCGCGGCCATCAGAGCACAGTGGAGGATTGTTGCAGAGGTGTGTCAGCGGCCTTTCTCAAATAAGGAAGAGGTGGAAACAAAGAACTGCAACTGTTCATCCATTACCATAAATGTGATTAAAATATTCACTCTCTCAATCCTAATTCACCACGTCGCAGGGACCTGCAAGTCCCGTATTCATCTGTTATATGAGGTCTGTCTGGAAAGTATCCATGTGATTTGAAAAGTAGAGACATTTATTGAAGAAGATAGAAGAAACATTGTACATAGGACAATGATGCCTTAGTCCCGTTTATAGTAGGCACCTTGGAAACTCACGCAGTTCTCCCAGTGTCTCTAGGACAGGGTCTATGCAGCCTGTCCTTTATATTAGTGCTAATAAATAGCATTGTACAAAGAGCTCCTTAAATGAATACATTCTGACGTTTGTTTTTCGTTTCACGTGTAGCTGGTTAAAAATGAAACAAATGAAGTTGAAGAAATCTGTGCGGATTGTATAGAGGATGTAGAACCTGACACTCAGGAAAGACCACCTCAGAATGAGAAGAAAACATCAGATGAGAAAGCAATAGAACCCCTGAGTGACTTAGATGAAGACGACAGAGTTGAGAATGAGGGAACCAAACAGAGAAAGAGGGGACCCCTTCTGAGACAGGCGTTACGAGCTCTGTGCTGCAGTCTCTCCAATACTGACAGCAGCATGGACAGAGAAGCTGCTGCTTCCATCCCCTCATTCGACCCACTGGAGCACAGTGGAGGAGCTGTAGAGGTGTGTCAGTGGCCTGTCTCAAATAAGGAGGAGGTAGAAGCAGAGAACTACAACTGTCCATTCATTACCATAAAATTCATTAAAATATTCACTCTCTCAATCCTAATTCACGATTTCGCAGGGACCTGTGAGTCCTGTATTAATCTGTTATATGAGGTCTGTCTGGAAATTATCTATGTGATTTGAAAGGTAGAGACATTTATTGAACAAGATACAAGACACAAGAAGCATTGTACATAGGAGAATGATGCCTTAGTCCCCTTCAAAGTAGGCACCTTGGAACCTCACACAGTTCTCCTAGAGTCTCTTCCAGTGTTCAAAACACTGTGCAAAATCCTTTGTTGGAATCGCTACCTCGTTGTATTTACCTGAATCTCATGGACGGTCCGAAAACTCTTCCTTTTCAAAGGTGATGTTAGTTTTAGGAAAGCTAGAAGTTGCAGAGCACCAAATCTTTCAACAGACTCTCGACCATCTTCGAAGTGTTTGTGCCACACTTTTATTTGCCCTCTAAATCATTTGAATAGTTTCTGCAGAGGAATGTTCAAGCCTAACGCAAAATTTGATGCAGATTCGTTGCTCTACTCAGTCATTTTGAATGCAACAGCCACACAGTACACATGCTCACTCAATGGTGCCTAGCGCCCCTACTGACTAGTACAGTGATGTCATTGTTCACACATGCACATTCCTGTCCTTTCTCCTTTTCTGCCAGGTTACATTGATGTCACACAAACCGTCCTTGTTATATGAACAATGACTGGACTTCTTCCAGACAGACCTCGTATATTCCTTTTTTTTTTTGTCCTGCGAGACCACTACAAACTTAGGGACCTGCATGCCCCATTATATTTAATATTTAAAATGTCTTGGAAACAAAAATAAAAATGATATTTAAATTATTCTACAATGTTTAAACTTTGAGACCTTTGCGTTCCAATATGTTTATTTAATAATTTAGTCTCTCTAGTTAAAAGTGTTTCCATTTGGTGGTGACAGGGCCGTAGCAAGGATTTTTGTCACCCTAGGCAATAACAATTTGCCGCCCCATTCACTCCTCAGTGGTCCTGTAGGTTTAACCCCACAAGATAAAACATTGTTATACCTTGAATGGTTAAACAAGCCTCTTGTAGCTGTCCCACTGACAGCCACTAGAGGTGCCTCTGCTACAATGCCATGACATTTATTTGGAGAAGCATTGGAAGTGCATAGCATTTGCCACTTATGCGCATCAGGGCACCAATGCTCCTGTATTAGGAACATTGGATTGGACCAGCATTGCCCCATTAGTGACATTGCTGAGGTAAGGAGGCAAGTAGTACAGAGGAAGTTTTGGTGCTAAAAAACTAAAACACTGTTTTTTAATATTGAAAAGTATTGATTTTTTTAAAATGAAAATCTTCCTTTCTGCCCAAATACAATCACTGATACATGCATACATGCACTTACGCACGCACACATTCATTCACTCACTCACACTCAATGGTTTTCACAATCAGTGACCAATGCACACACAAATTCACTAACTCTTGCAGAGTGACACACACACACTGACTCAAGCAGACATACACTGAATTATGTAGACTGACACACACACTGGCCCAAGCAGACACAAACACAACACACACACACACAGACACACACACACTGACTAATGCAGACTGACACAAACACACACACACTGACCTATGCATACACAGACTGACACACACACACGGACCCAAGTAGACACACACAGATCCACGCACTAACTCAAGCAGACACACATGCACACACACTGACCCAAGCTGACACACACACACACACACTGAACCGAGTAGATACACATTGATCCAAGCACACACACAGACCCAATCAGACACACACACTAACCCAAGCAGACACAAACACGGACCGACCCAAGCAGACACACACACACATCCAGACACACACTGACCCAAGCAGAAACGCACACACACTGGCCAAGTAGACACACACACACACTGACCAATGCAGACACACTGACCCAGGCAAACACTCACACACTGTGTCAAGCACACACACACTTTGGCTGCATAGGCCCACAGAACCCATTTGCTATGGCACACTTGCAGGTGCTTCACAGCAAAGCAATAAATATCACAAATGTACTACAGTAAGTAATCTTTACACCATCTCTCTCTCCAAAAACAAATTCATAGCACTTTTGGTTTTCTTCTCTTTTTCCCATTGGACAGTGAGACGTTTGTTATATTGTTATATATTTGTTATATTAGGTTTTCTGGAAAGTTCTAGATTGAAGATTCCTTTTCCTGTTAATTACATATGATTTTTTATTTTTTTTATTTTTATTAGAATTCTTTGGTGCTTTGGATCTTCCAAAAAATAACCATGAAGATAAATTTGAGAGATGTCATAGAATCACTAAACCTGGTGACATCCCAAAAGATACCTCAAGGGATGTGACGGTCTGCTTCCATTCCTTTGATTTCAGAAATTTAAAGCAGTTAGACAAAAAATTAGGATACATTTTAATCTACAAAAGTGCTATCAGATTTTTTCTACCCTGTTAGTTCAAAAAGTAGAAGATTTGTTCCAATTTTATCATGACAAAATGATGTTATATTTAAATGGGGCTACTTCATCTGCCTAATGATCTGGACTAATAACACATGACTGACATTAACTTCAGAGGAAAAAGCCAAAGAATGGTTAATGGATAAAAAAAAAAAAAAATCTATTAAAACATTTATATATTTATTCTTGAGAGATTCTTGAATACTGCATACAAAGATAGCTAATAATATTGATAAAAGTTATTTTTTTTAATTTTTTTTTTTATATATATACTCAGAATAACACACAAATAATCTCACCATAGCAGGGTCAGACTGGGAAAAAAATTGGGCCAGGGCTTTTTTTAATCACAGTGGCTCAGTGAGAAGGAGGTGGGGCCAGAGAAGAGGGAGCTTTGTCATCACCAATGACAAGCACGCGTTGGTTCAATGCTCTTCCAGGGCAGTCAGTGTGCAAAGCTGATGGAAGAAAATGTAACTTAGCGTTAATGTTGTATCCATTAGCTATAATCATGTATCTATGCACTTGTATCAACGAGTACCAGGTGAGGAAAAAAGAAATAACTGGTGGCTTTCTATTTCACGAGAAATTGAAACTTCATAAAGTTTTGTTTCTCAGGAAAAGTTGGCCTTGAAGAATGGACATGCTCTTTTGCACGTACACAATTTCTTACCTACATAGCATAAAAGACTTCTGCGACTGTGGAATAAACCAGAAGATGATTTTAACATACAACATGTGTGTGTGTTTGTCTCTTCTCCTTGATATTGGGTGTGTGGGGCGCAAGCCCTAGCCGACACTCTACAACTAGCAGGCGGCTTCACAACCGCAGAGTCCATGCCGACCAATGGGAGAAGTGCTACCATTCAAATTGGTCTCACTCCCTTATTCCCGATCGGCTGGCAAAACACCTCCGCTCCCTGAATGCTGACTGGCCGCTACGTGTTCGCACCCTTTCTCCAGATTAGCCGCTGATTTCACCGACCTAAACCAACTGATCTTGTGGAACTGTTTTCGGGTATGTATAGAGCCTCGAGCCCAGACTTTACATGATGATTTCTCGGCCTCTATACATCCGATACATCCGATCACTTCGAAATTTGCAGGGAGCATAGCTCAGACCATTAGCTATCCAGGGATGTAGGGCATGTGGGGAAGCATTGCTGTGTTCTGTGTATTTTGTGTTTTTTTGTTTGTGTGTTGACTTCCTGTGCCTGGAGATACCATTATCCCCCAGACACAGCGACCCCGGGCCGGGCTTATGTTTTACATTACTGTCTTCAGTAAACAGATCCTGTAGTACCCTTTATCAAGTCTAGGCTGATGCTTGGGTAACCAAGAGCTCTAATTACTGCTTCGCTTGGAGTCGGAGCATAGGGGATCTGTTACAGGGTGTACCTCTGATATGCAATTGTTTTACTCTCACTACAAGATTTAAACCTGACAAAAGCCCTGCTGAATAGTTCTTGCATGAGAAAAAGTACCTATGTTTGCTCTGTGCAGCACAAGCAAATTTGCTTGTCAATTGCCTCTGGTGTCCCGATAAGTATGATAGCAGAGACAAAAGGACCAAGAAAGTGTATTATACATGTGTTTAAAGGCTGCTTGTGGGATTGTGTTTGTGTAGAGTGAGCTGATTGTGTTGTGATGGGTTTAATAGGTCAGTTTCAGTTTTTTTGTGTAATATATATGGTTAGATGCTGTAGAGAGTGTGTGTAAGAGGTATAGTGTGTGTGTGAGGGGTACAGTGTGTGTGTGTGTGTGTCTGTGTGTGTGTGTGTGTGTGTGTGAGCGGTAAAGAGTATGTGTGTGGAGGGGGTGCAGTGTGTGTGTGTGTGAGTGGTCCAGTGTGTGTATTAGGGGTACAATGTATTTGTGAAGGGTACCTTGTATTTGTGAGGGGTACAGTGTATGTAAGGAGTAGACTGTGTGTGTAAGCGGTATGGTGTGTGTGAGGGGTGCAGTGTGTGTGTGTGTATGTGTGTGAGGGGTGCAATGTTTGAAAGATTGTGGTTTTTTTCTGTTTGTGTGGTATGGTAATAGCACCTCCTGTCTTACCTTTGCTCAGTGAGGGGGAACACTGATGATCTGGTGGTGAATAAACTCTTGCCTGCAGCTCCTCCAGCTAGAGTTTACTGCTCTCACAAGATTCGGCAATGACAACTGCGGCAACACCCTGACCCTGCAAGAGGAAGAACCCAGCAAAGCTGCTGACTAGAGCCCCTTGGTTCCTCTACCCTCTCCTTCCTCTGCCAGATTTCAGAGCCAGTGGGCCGGTAAGGGAGATCTTTGATCTCCCCACCGACCCGTCATGGCACACAGCAAGACCGGCGCTTGGATAGAGTGTGCCCTGCAGAGACCAGTAGGGTCCTTTGTCAGCCTCTCTCCATGGCCATCACATCCCACTGGGCATTTGCCCAGCTTGCCCAATGACGAGTCCGTTCCTGCACCATAAACTATAAACTAAACTCGCACCCAAAAAAGAAGCTTTTTGTATAATACTCTGTTAAATGAGAGGGCTCATATCTGCTTTCTACAAGAAACTCACTAGAAATCAGACAATCAGTTAAG